AGAAACAGGGACTAAACAGTCATTAAACATCCATTTCACCCTGGTCTGAGCATAGTCATGTGCAGATAGGAGCATAAGCTGTGCCCACGCAGGTTAACCTTACATTCCATTGTGTGTTAGTAGTTAAACTACAGGATGTCAATGGTAGAGTGTGCCTCAGCTAGAAAAGGCACAGATATCACCCACAGATGGGTAAATAAGCTTTATACTAACTGGGGTACTGGTTAATTTATGGTAGACAGAGAAATAGCTGCATCATATTAGTATAATTGTTCTACTGTCTTTATCTGAACTTTTAAGTGTTGTTGCAAGAGGTGCCTAGGCCAAGCTGATAGGGAGGGACTTAGGATAACTTTGTACAGCCTCAACCTAACTCTCTAGACACATATTTCTTAGTCTGCTTTCCTGTGTTTTGCTGCTTTAAGGTTGACCTTCCCAAATGTGAACCTGGTTGACCTTCAGTCAACTGACGCTCAATATCAGTCATAAAAACGAAAGCTTCACAGAGGCTCCTTTCCAGATCAAGTAAATGCGTGACGTCTCATCCTTGTAATGATTCTTATTCGACATCATTCATGGCAGTTCTGCTTCTCTGTATCAAACATGAAGCCTAAAATGATTAAGGAAAGTATGTTCATTACTGTGTCAGGTGATTAATCTTAAATTTGGGCTGTATCTTAGAGTAAAACTGACTCTTTAAATTATCATTGGGCAAATATTCGACATTAAACATCTTTACATGTGTTTTGCATGAACTATTTTTGATTCAAAAATTTAAGACAGGATGTACTACCAAAGAGCTGCTCCTGATACCTGTTTCCAAATGAGACACAAGGTTTTCACTTAGAGTTTAATCTTTTGATCCAGACCACAGATGGAGAAACCACAGTGCTCCCTTCCCATGTGGGATCTGCAGGTGGGAGTCTCAGCTGGTCTGTCTCTCTGGGAGCTCCTGAGTTTTTGTTCAGCTTTTACTGTCACTTCAAGCACTGTGAGTTCTGAGAAAGCACAGAAATACTTTGCCAAATCTCCTATCTGCAAGGCTGAAATGGTGAGGCTTATGGACTTAGCGACTCTCTGGAAGTTGACAGCATAGCGACCGCTCTTTGCATTGAGACTTGAAGAATACTGGCTAATAAGAAAAACCATTTCTCCGCTGGGAAGTTGCTGGTACCAAAAAATATAATATGAGCTCCTGCTTGTCTATAGGCACAGTCCAGGGTGACTGATTCCCCTTCCGGCCTGGATGTGGCTGGCTGGACTTGAGTCACTTTCTCCACTACACTGGGTCTTGTGGGAACAACAAGAAGACAGCTGATTCTCTGACACTGATAAAATACTGTAAGAGTTAGACTAATTTAGGGCCCACATACAACACTGAAGTCACAGTTTTATTTTTCCCCATCCCCCTTCCCTCCCTTAGACTGTGCGAAGCACCGCATGTCCATGTTCACTCCTTTCATCCTTAACATTCTTGAACATGCTCAGATCATCCATACCAGCGCAGACAAAGACTACAGACACCCACAGCAGGCTGGTGAGGGGCATGTGTCTTTATCCTTCTCCACAGTATGTTTAGTTCTGCCTCAGACTCAGACTTCAGGGCCCCTGAGTGCCTGGTAGTGTGTGCATAAATAATTCTTGAGCTCATAGGCTACTCCCCCAAACAGGAAATAGGGTTTCTTATGGTTCACACCACAAGGTCTGCACACACATAAGAAGTGTGACTCTTCACCAACTGATCTTCTGTCTGCCCTTGTTTCCACTGTAGCTCAGTTAGAAAGCACTTAGAAAGGGAACCAGAAAAGCAGTTGGTTTGAGAGTTGGAGCTGAAAGGAATTGCAGATTGAGCTACCTAACATGGAGATGTCATTCAGTCGATTAGCGTGAGGGGCGCATTTATAGTAAAATTGACTGTGAGCCACATACTCTCCTTCTAGTCAACTTACTGGTCACTAAACTAACAAAGGTTTACTCTTCCCTACATAGGTCTTCTTCTTTTCTGTGAAAGGCAATCATACACAAAATAGTGATTATGTCCTCTCCTTCTTTACTGTGCTTTAGGATCTATTTCAATTTTACAATTAACAAAACTATTTCCGAATCATGTGATAAAATTCAATGCCACAGTCTTTGTGAGGCTATTACATTGTTTATGTTTTGTGAAATTATAAGCAGAATAAAATGTTATTCTTTCAAAACTGGATAGTGAGTTGTATTTACTAGATTTTAATAGGATGAGTATATTCAGACCTATTGCCTCCACAAAACTAATTATACTTCTGAGATCATGTATGCTAGATTTATTCTACCACATTTTCTAGCCTATTTATTCCAATATTGATCCATATTCTTCTCTTACTAAATAATCTCATGACGAGCATGCTAGGTCTTTCTGTGACACATGCTATAATCTGCTCCTGAAAACACACTGTACATGTGAACACTGCTGATAATGTTGGCTGAGTTTTTGTGTACCACTATATGATCACGAGGAACCTAGCTGTTCTTCCTCTTCCTTCATTATTTTAATAGATGAATCAAAATGAAGTGACCAAAAAGCAAATACAAACCTAGGAAAGCACATACAAAACCTCTACGACTGTCCTAGTCCTTGATACAGGTTTTAATAACAGACCAATGAGTGTCATAGAGAAGCTCATATAAGTATTTGAGACAGCTGATATTTAGGTTTGCAATCATTTATACTTCAGCAGATGGAGACCATGGATGCGAACAGCAGCCTGGGAGTGGCATGGGGACAGGGTTTCCCTCCCTTCAATTTGCCGCCTGTGCTCCTGACAGTCCAGTGAAGGATCCCACACTGGCAGGTAGCAGCTGCCTCTGAGATGTGGTTTCTGGGTGGGTCAAGATTGAATGTGCCAAAAAAAAAAAAAAAAGATTGAATGTGCCATGACGCCCAAGTTGGGAAGCCTGTCTGATCCTAATTATTGTTTTGTTCTTTCTTGAGATTAAATTGACGAATGAAAATATGTGGAAAAGTACAAGCAATAATATTTTATTTAAAGAAGATTAACCACTGGAAATTTTCTGGATGGCTTATCTGAAAACTAGCATCATAAATTGTGGCTTTGATTCCAAATACTCATTTAAGTTTTGATTATTCTCTTGCCTCTAGTGTGATCCTCACAAGAAATCCTTGCTTTTCCTGCAAAGACAAACTAGAATTGTTTGCGTCACTTCCTTCCCACTCACCACAAACCCTGGCAATTATAAGCTTCACAGTGGCCAAGCATCTAAGCAGAAATATACAATCAGAACACGCTTCCACGTTCTGACTTCTCCCCACTTGCATACTGGAGTGACAGTGGTAGCAGCCAAGTCATTGTGTTGTTATACTGAACCTGTGCTTAATTTTTTAAGTATTCCTGGAAAGAGAACCATTGGCTTTCTAAATGTCAGTATTGAGCCATCTTGCTATGATAAGCACATATGCACCATTTGAAGCAAATCTGTCTTCCCTGTTGTTGTTTCCAGGAAGACAGAAATCTCTCCCAAAATATGGTTTCATGGCAAAAACATTCAAAATCCTTCACAGTATAAATGCTCAAAGTAAAATATTTCTCTCTTTGCACATTAAATGAATGAAAGTTCTTTTCTACTTTATCCTGAAAATTCATCTGATGATGAGTTTGTGTCAAACTCCCAAACTCCAAAATTTATTTCTTTTTAAAAACCTTATAAAGAAACTCAAATGAGAATAATTGAGTTATTCTATGACACTCTGTCTTCAGATTCTTCCCAATTCTTTGTAAAATCCCCAAACTCACATTTCCTATGAAACCACAGAATCACAGCTGAGTTTCCAGGATCCTCCCAGTTCTTTCTTCTTCATATGTATATGACAACACCTATGCCCTGATGCACATGGACTCCAGCCTGGACACGAGGTTCTACTTTATTATATCTACTTCAGTGCATCAGAAGCTACTCTAGTGTGATAGAAACACTACCCCAAATTTCTGACCTGACTTTCCCAATTACTAGGAAAAAAAAAAAAAAGTAAAACAAGCTTTGAGAGGCAGAGAGAGTTCACATTTCGACCTTCTGTGGAATATCTCCGAAAGCTAAAAGTCACTTCATATGTTTTTTTTTTCTTTTCATTTTCCCTATGTACTAAAAAACTATGTGTTATGACTGCAGAAAGGAATTCTGGATTGTATATTTCATGGTGAACATCCTTTGTGTGTGATTATGTTGTGCACCTTTTTCGGTTTCTGTTCTCTATTTTTGGAAAGATCTCTCCATAAGAACTTTAATTTTTATTTTATTTTACCTTTATAGCATATGTTTGTGGTCCAGAATCATTACCTTCATTGCAGAAAGCAGGTACATGTAAATAATATATCTGTTTATTCCTCTTTCCCTCCTCTACCTCCCCCTCCCTTGATCTCTAGACCGCTTTCCCATTTGCAAAAGGTCTATTTCCCCTGTTTCTGTATCTTTCATTTTGATCCTCAAATTATTTACGCTTTGGGTTTCTCATTTAACAGAAAATATGCATCATTTAAGCTTCTGCATCTAATTTATATCACTTAAAATTACGGTCTAGAGGTGCATCTGTTTTCCTAAAATGACTCAAATTTATTTTTTAGGGGCAAGTAATATCCCATTTTGTATATATATCATACTTGCTTTAGCCATGCATCAGTTGATGAACATATAGGCCATATCTAAGATTTAACTCTTAGGAGCTGTGCTGAAAATATGTGAGTATGCATGGATCACTGTAATATGATGTCCTTACATTTGAAAGGAAGGTAGCTGGAAGGGAATAATTGGATTGAATGGAATTGCAATTCTTAGTTTTTTGAGGACTCTCAATGCTGATTTCCATAGTGGTTGTGTTAGCCTCCATTCCCACAAACAGTGTAGAAGGGTTTCTTTTCCCCAGTAGTCTCACAACTACTTTTATTGAATGGAACATATTTGTTAATATTCTTACTTACATCGTTCATCATGTATGAACATTCAGTAAATTTACTGTTTTCCCTGCACCCTGGTAGAAGGAATGACAAACACAATATCCACCCTTTGCCTGCAGGTGGTGGTGAGGCAGAACTGAAAGTGCTTGCTTGAGGCGTCCAGCTCAACTACTAATCATCAGTAAAGTCTTCATCTGAAAGATTTTCCTTTCCTTTAGTTCCTTTTTTTCTGTCTTGTTTGGAGTTCAGAATTCTGGAGCTTAAGTATGTAATTTGATTTAATCTTCTTTTAAGCTATCTACTAGTTGCAAGTTGGAAAATTACATTTCAGAGGAAATGAAGTTAAAAGCCAAAGCCCCAAATCTACACTGTACAAAATTATCTGTAGGCACAGCTCCACCGACGTAGGTAAGTGACACTAAGCAGTGAAGAGGTTGCTGCAGTGGCCCTGTGACGCACCTGTGGCTGGCGTGGGGCTGAGCTCAGCTGAGGGTTTGTGTACCAGCTGCAGGCGCCTGGGGAGCACTGTGGGCTGCAGCACAGAAATAAGTGGCTGAGTCTGAGGGCTGGGAGGAGGAGATGGACAAGGAGCTGTGGCGTTCTTTAGTGACTGTCGTGGCCTTTAGTCTTCCATTCTGCTTTGTCCCTGAAGGAATGTAGAACAGGCTGAAGAGGCGTCCCCCAGGATCTTGGCGGAACCACTGCACACTGGTCACCGAGGCAGAAAAACTGCATGACAGAGTGGAATTGGCTCCCTCCTGGAGGATCTGGGCTGGAGGACTCTGCTCCACCTGCATTCCTGTCACACCTGAGGAGGAATGGAGAAGCAGTCACAGGCGATGTCACTGCCACACCTACACAGCCCTGAAAATGTCCCCATGGAGCATGAGAAGGAGAACGTCTGCAGGATTTGCGAGTTCCTTCCTCCACAACCCCCTCCACTCAACTGCAAAAATCCTTTTAAACTCCCTGAATTTGAGACAGCTCAACTCACAGAAAACCTGGGTGCACCAAAACCCCAGCAGAGAGCTCAGGATCCTCTTCATGACCCTTGTTGGTCTGGTTGGATGTACTTAGTCCAGATCTCAGATGGATGCACTTAGTCCACTCAGGGGCACTGGTGTCAGGACCTGGTTCTGGAACTGCTCCTGCTCCTGCTCCTGCTCCTGCAGCCAATCAGCTCCACTGAAGAACCTGCCCAGGCCCAGATACTGAGCCCTCACAGCTTGGTGCAGGAAGCCCCTCCTGCACTCAGACCTCTGAGAATCTGGGCGGAGCCTTGCGGGGAGAGAAGGGAGAGAGAAACTTCATTAGTCTATTACCAGAGGGAAATGTTCTAGTAATCCTAGAGTGTAAGGCATGTGAGGGGACATTTGAGAAGGAAGGGGAGGCACTCCTCCAAAGGGAAACAACTCAACTGTACTAATGAGCCTGGGGATCATAATGGAAAAGACATGCATGTACGTGTATTGAGACCCACAGTGGAAATATGTGATCTTTTTTATTCTTTTATTTTAAAGAGAAAAAAATAACAACAACAAAGACAAAAGCAAAACAGCATAAAAATGATACAGAATTTCAAAACAAGATGATAGGAAATTAACAATGATTGTTGTATTACATATTGTTTTCTTCAACAAAGTTGCTCAGATTACCAGATATAAGAATGCAAGATTTATCAAACAACTAAAGAGAATAAAAAATAATAAAAAAATTAGAAACAATACAAAGCTTCACTAAACAAGATGGTAGGGCCTTAACAATGGTTGTTACATTGCATACTGTTGTCTTCAAATTAGTTGTTCAGATTACCAGATATAAACATGCAAAATTGGTCAAAAATTTTTAAGCATTAACTGTCCCTTTCAGTAAACCAATGGACATCAGCAGTACAATTATCCCAACTATCCTTGTATATACATATTTTTTTCCTTCCTTCTTTCTTTTTTTTCTCCTTTCCCTCATCCCACTTATTCCTTCCTTTGAGCAATTTCTTTCCCTTTCATAATATCTGTTGAAACGCATATGTTTTGAGTTTTACTTACTCTTTCAGGTTCTCACACTAGGGAGACAATATGAGGTTTACACATGCAGGTATGATTTATTTCACTTATGAGTATGGTCTCCATTTTCCTATAAAAGCCTCAAGTTTATCTTTTTATAGCTGAGTAATATTCCATTGTATAAAAATACCACATCTTTTTTATCCATTCCTAGTTGATCGACATTTAGGTTGTTTCCAAGATTTAGCTATGACAAATACACTGCTGTAAACATGGGTGCTCTTATATTGCTGTGGTGTGATGTTTTCAGTTCTTCTGGAAAAGTGCCCAGAAGGGGAGAAATGTGTATTTTAATGTGTCTTTATTGACCTGTGAATTAATTTACATGAGAGTCACTCCAGCATACTAAGTAAAAAAGTTGCAGAAGCTCTAAAGTGTATGCAAAATGTTGCCTTCTTACTGGAATGTGCAGATTGGGGTTCTCCTAGAATAACCGAGAGTTGTGGTAGATATTATCATAAGAAATTGCACCTTGAGGAGATGGAGGGTTGGGGAAAGTTTAATCAATGTGCACTAAATTGCATTTAGGACAAAAAGTTCACATATGGTATTGCACATTAGGGTGACTAAAAGTAATGATGATGTACTGTAGATGTCAGAAAGCTACAGTAAAGAATAGAGAACTTGTCATCATAAGGAAAGGATAAACGTTTAGCTGGGCATGGTGATGCATGCTGACAACACCTTCTACTTGAGAGGCTGGGACAGGAAGATCACTTGAGCTCAAGAGTTCCAGGATAGCCTGAGCAACAAGCAAGACCTCAGCTTGAATAAATAATTTGTTTAAATGATAAAAGTCTAAGAAGATATTTTAACCTGATTTAAACATCAAACAATATACGCATCTAAAATCACATAATATTCCATTAATATCTGTAATTTTATATGTATATACTTTTAAAATAACAACAGATTATATAAAACAACTGGTACTAGTACAATTGTTAATTGTGAGGAGAAAAATAAGGTCAGTTTGGACAATAGTTACATATTACCTTGGCTGGACAATATTTTTTCTGTAATGAATTTTATCTTGTAATAACTTCCTATATCTCATCTTACAATTGATAAAGTCCCTTTGCTCCATACGATTCCTCTCCTCCCCTCGCTCTTTCCCTTCTCTTTACATTTCCCCTTTTCTTCTCACCTTTCCTTTCTTCCTGCTACCAGGAAGAGGAAGAAAAAATATTAAGAAATGATAACATTAAAAGGTTCTGATATCATCATGAACAGGTAAAATAAACCTCAGGTTTTTCTCTGGCATATAAAAATCTAAGCAACAATTTTGTTTTAAAAAATCTGCCTCCTATTCTTTGGAATTTCAATCTTGCTTGTACTTTGTATGTTTGTCTGATGCCAGAGTATTCTGTAAGAGATGCAGGTAATGATGCAGATAGAAGTTATGATAACAACTCATTTAGATGCATGCGTGATAGTTGTAAATATTGGGCACCTAAGGAAAAGTCTCCAATTCATGTTATGGTGTCATCGATCAACTGTCACATTTAGAAGGCAGAACTGTTAATAGAAAGGGGCAGTCAGCAAAAAGTGACTTTTAGGTGCTAATAATGACTTATTTGTCCTCGTACACAGTCATCTTTTCTTTTAACTATTATTATCACTCATGTTCTGATCATTCCTCCCTAAACTGTAGGGGAAGAAAGGTTTTTTGAATCTACTCCATTAGACAGCAAGCCATTTCCAGTTTAGTGCCCACCAGGGGCCAGAAAGAGAGCTAAGGAGAGGCTCTGGAGGTGTTGAACTTTCCTCATTTCCTTTGGCCTTTCCAGGGTTGGAATTCAAAGGTTTGCGATCATGTATAGAGAAGGATTTATGTTTTCTAAAACAAACTTAAGGGTTTGTTTTAAAAAAATTAAAATGTGAATTAAAATGAGCACAAAACAGTTTTTAGAATGAGAAATAAATGTACATGAAATTACTTTGAGGTGGGAGCCTGGGTGAGTCACCTCACAGTGCAGGACAGGAAAGACAGGGAAAAAGCATGAGTTTGGGGAAAAAGAAAAAACCAAGAAGGGGCTGGGGATTTAGCTCAGCGGCAAAGCGCCTGCCTGGCAAGCGCAAGGTTGTGAGTTTGGTTCCCGGTACCGGAGAAAAACCAAAAAAGAAAAAACCAAGAATAACCCAGAAAGGACCCAATGAGGGGCTTGACCCTACTTTTCTTGCTCCCATCTCAGTGAACTCAACAACCCAGAGTGCAGCTGAAGCCATGGCAGCAGTGAATAATAAGAACCCAAGAGAAACACCATGGTTTCTTGTAAAGACTGAGTTTATTCTGGGGTCTGAAGTTTGATCAAGTTTCAGGTGAGAGATAATCATTTGTCTGTCTAGTGCTGTTATTGTTCAGTTTCAGAAAGGTGAGAGTAGATGTCCATTTGCCTTCCTCATCAGTAAGAGACAGTTCTCATCTTTCCAGCTCACACACAGATGAAAGTGAGTCTTTCTTATGAGAGGCATCCGTGGTCTCTGCATTCACATATTACTAGCTTTACAGGAAAATATATGAAAATGTTGATGTAGTTTAACTTAAACTAATATTTGGTCAAAATATGTGGTCAAAATCTCAGCCTCTTTTCTACTATTTTAGATGAATTATCCAAGAACTAAAGCCCAGCCTCAGGTGAGCAGCTATACCCAATGACTGGGACCGTAAGGTCAAGGTGATAGCGGAAGAAGCTGGACATACAGAGGCAGGACTCCCTGCACACAGTTTTCCTGGCCAGCCTGCCTTCCATCTCTTGTGCAGGGAGGGCCAGGAAGGGAGTTGCCCCCATTTCTTGGTCCTGAGGGTCCTCCTAGACCACGTCTCCTGAGCGGCCTCATGAAGCAAAGGGCTGGTGGGAAGTTGTGTAGACTATTTTGAAGCAGGGACTAAGGAGAGGCAGAGCCTAACTTAGTTGTGGAGACTGAAGTAGGATAATAAAACAGATTCAACGTCCTTTGCTTGGATCTTAAATGTCCGCATGAAGAACCTAATATCCCAGGAGATTATAAGTAGCAGCTAATAGGTGAGACAGGATGGTATAGAAAAATTACATGTCAGCGTTTTCAGGAAATTTCAGCAATGAGAGGGTCTCAAGTCTGAAAGGGAGAGAAACCTTTCATGCTGAGCACTGGTACTTCAGAGAGCAAAACTGTTCTCTCTAATTCTACATCCACCCCTCCCTACATCCACGTAACTCGGGACCTCTGAGGTTCTTGGAATTTGACCTGAGACTGGTTCATGTTCTTGGGGAAACTGAGTGAACACTGTGACAGCAGGGAGAGACACAACCGTCCCCTACCAGGGATGCCCCCCGCAGCCGCGGGCACCCTCTGGGTTTTTGCTCAGCTCCCCCTGCAGTTCTGTTCACTGTGTCTCCAGGGCACAGTAGTACAGGGCAGAGTCTGACAACTGGAGTGAGGCTTTCTGCAGGTGGAAGGAGCGCTGGCTCTTGACGAGAGTAGCCTGAAAGCCTTGGTTCTCGGCCCGCTGGTTTTCTGTCGCACTCCTCAGGAGGAGCCGCGGAGCTGCGTGGGAATACTGGACATACCAGCAAAGGAAGGAAGCTGAATAAGTAGTCTCGTACGTGCAGTTCAGGGTCAGAGGGGCCCTCTCTGAGAGAATGACTGGACCTTCTGTCTGGGTCACTGAGTCTCCATGGCTCCACCCTAAAAAAAGAGAAAAAATATACTGTTATAAAGGGAAGAAAGCTAAAGTTGTCGTGATTGCAGGAAATTGAAATATTAGTGCTTAGGAAAAAAGTGAATTACTGGATGTTAAGAGTATCACAAGAATAGAGCAGATGACAGAAAGCATGTTAGAAAAAGAAAATGATCCTTGTTTGTGATATAGCCCGAGTGAGCGCTCGTAGAAACACATCACTGAAAGAAACCAGAGCTTTATTCAGCACGACAGCAGTCTGTCTATTACTACAGACGTAATAGATCTGTTGAACAAATGCCCATCTGCAAACGTGAACCACACATGAAGAAGTAGTGCCATGTGGTGGTATTTCTGAGAATTGCAGTCTATATTTGCCTGACCCTATTTTAAGTATTCCTAACGCCATTGTCCTCCTTCCCCCTTATCCACAGGAGATCTGTTCCAAGACCCGCAGAGGATGTCTGAAATCACATACATCACTGAACACTAAAAGGGCTACTTTTCCCATACACACGTGCCTATAATGATGTTTGTTTATAAAGTGGGCACAGGGGCTGGGGATTTAGCTCAGCGGCACAGCGCCTGCCTGGCAAGCGCGAGGTCGTGAGTGCGATTCCTGGTACTGGGAAAAAAATAAAAAAATAAAAATAAAAATAAAGTTGGCACAATGCTTTCAGGTGCAACACATTGCCGTCAACTGAAACGTTGTGGGTTCGTGTCTTCTACACACAAATACTGTGCCCCTTCTACCTTAATTAAGCCCTTGTCATGCACTGTGGCTGTACCTTTTCTAATTTCAGGTGTGGTAGAAAACTGACTGACTAACAAAAGGTGTGGGTCACTGTGCACCATGAGATACTAGACATAGGCATAACTCTCACCCTGGGAGAATGGAGCACAACCATGCAAGATTTCATCACACTGCTCACATGATATGGTTGAAACTTATGAACCGTTCATATCTGAAATTTTTCATTTAATATTTTCCAATGACAGGTGAAAGCATGTAACTAAAAACAAAGAAAAAATTATATAACAGGCACCATTGCAAATGGCCTGTGAGAAAGGTAGATAAAGAAGAACAAATAGTCCTCTAAGAAGAAACCACTGCACATTTGTTTTATACAATAAACTGTACTTAGACAATATTTAATTACTACTACCTGCAGTGCACTCTCATGGTGCAGAGATTGTCCCCCAGATAATCCCAGGCACAACTTTTAAGGGGACTAGTCTGAGGCCCTTTTCTTGGAATGTCCCTCAATTCCTATGGATAAAGAAGGATGTCTCCGTATAGAAAGCCTCTCTCCTCCCCAGCAGTACATCACCTAATCAACCCTGTCCATCCCCGAGTCCCAAGCAGCATGCACCTCCATCATCCAGGCAGTGCTTGCCCGATAATCTGCAGTGAAGAACCAACGTTTTCCCATGGACTAGTACATTTGTGAAATACAATAAAATCAATTACTATAATGATAGGAACTGACCTTCCAGTGCACTTTTAACCTCTGGCTGATTTGCACACATGTAAAGGAAACTCTCTGAAAGAAAGAGAAAGCAATAAGTCAAGTAACTTCCAGAGCTCACACACTGCTAGGCACAGTGTTTATTCACAGCAACCAAGATACAGCAGCCCTTGTGATACATGAGGCAGACACCAGAATCCTCCAAAAGTGTTACATTAGAAGTGGGCTAAAGAAGTCCCATGATATGGGCTGTTCAGTAGAAACTGGGAAAGTTCCTAAACAAACTAGAAGGAATCTTGGAGGAGTGGAACACAAATAAGAAAGCTTACTTTCTGGACACCAAAGGCCAGGCAGCAACTAGTAATGTCCATGCATTCTGTCATGCTCACCTGTATCAAAAACTGTATAAAAGCCTCTTGTTATAATTTGTGTCTAGATGTCTCTTAAAACCTCATGCAGTCATGGGTGCAGACTTCTAGAGTTGGTGATTGATTCATGGTCTAATGCTGGGATTATAGGTGTGGGGCGAGTAACCTGCATACAATATAAGGGAAAGAAAGAGGCTCTCTCTGCTCCCCCCTTTTTGCTCTTGTTGCTTTTGCTGTTTTCCACAGCTGTGAACTGTTGCCCTCTGCCATGTGCCACTCTGCCTTGGAGCCAGTGGAGTATGGACTGAAACTTCCACAAACTGTGAGCTAAATAAACTTTTGCTTCCTTAATTCTGGGTGTCAGGTATTTTGTCTCAGCAATGAGAAGAAAGTAACTAACACACCCCTGAACTTCAAAATCTATGATTTTTCTGCCTTTTGGAACTCGCCTCCCCAAAAATGGGAGGGAAACTCTTCTTTTTTTCCTCTAAATAAATATACACTTGGTTATTCCCCCAAAAGAGTCTCCATCCAATGATATAACATTCGTATATGTAGCATCATCAGAATTCTCAGACATGTGAACAAGTAGGAAAACATCATCTATAGCCAGGAGGAAAAAATATAGAAGAAGATCAAGAAATGACATAGACTATTGAATTACCATTATAAAAGGAAATAATTATTATAAATCATTAAAATTATACATAATAAAAATATAGTAAATGACTAAAGAGCTATAGGAACATAAAGAGTAGAAAAATTAAAGACATAAGGGTCAAGTGGAACTTCTAGAGATGAAAAATAAATTAGATATGATTAACATCAGATGAGAAAAAATCCAAGAAAAATCTCAGTAGACTTGAAGAAAAGAACAATAGAAATTGTCCAAACTGAAGAAAGCGTAAAATAAGCTGAAAAAGGATCAGTCTACGAGCTGTGGAACAAGTTCAAGTGATCTTCTGTGCATATAACTGAAACCTCAGGTGAACACAAAGGAGAAAGGAAAAATAGTTAAATAAGGACTGAAAAACTCAAGTTTTAATTATAAACCTACTAACACAAGAGAACAGAAATGAAAAGATTCCTGTTCCAAGGCTCATTGTAAATGCCCTCGTCCACTTTGTGTTGTTACGCCAAAACACCTGAGGGGAAGTACTTTGTAAGGAAAAGATGCTTATTTGGCTTATCATTTTGGAGGATGGAAAGTCCACACAGTGTGGTGCTGAACCCTGGCTTCACCGTGACACAGGAGAGGACATCACGGGACAGGCTCTTGTGAGAGCGGACGGAGAGGCACGAAACAGATCACTTGCAGAGAGAAAGCCAAATGCACCAGCGGCTTCCTCTCACAGTGACTCTTCCAGTCCACAAGGCACAGCTCACTCCAAAAGATCTAGTCCAGTCTAACTCAGTCTTGAGAGAACTACCCCAGTCTCCCAAGTAAAGTATTAGTCCTGCCATTGATCCAGGACAGTGCAGGCACAACCTGGTCCTTCTCTAAATGGCTCCACTTCCCACCAAGGCCATGCTGGTAATGGAGCTTCCACATGAGTGTTAGGGAGATGAGATCAGTCAGTCTGAACCAGTAATTAAGTTTCTACCATCCAGTAATAAAGAGAAATGATAAAAACAGCTGGGGTAGAGTGAGGATGGGAAGGAACACATCACATACAGGGGATCAAAGGACAAGTGACTTTTCACCAGAAATTATGCATGTCGGGACACAATTAAAGGGCTGAAAGAAAAAAGCCTTAAAAAGAAAGTTGTCTAAAGAAAAAGCTATATAGCAACACTGTTGTGTTTTTAACATATGCAGAGTAAACATGAATGACAACAATAGCATGAAAGGAGGAAGAGTGCTGTACATTTGAAGTGGTAAAACATTATTTAAAGTTGGACTGTGACGTGTTAGATATGTATTCTGTGAACAATCAATTCTCAACCTTGTGGATCTCAGGGTTCCTGAACAGTCTTACAAAAAGACCCCAAGAAGACTTTGGAAAGGTGTTGTTTGTGTGGACAGAGATGGAAACGCGTTCCATTAACCATCAGGGCAGTGTCATTATCACACATTATGTAGACTCTGGAAAACTTGCACATACAACTGTGATAGTATGACAGCGACAAAAACAAACAGCATTTGAATGTCACTATGCAAAAACTTATGGTGTGTCATGCCCCCTGCAAAGGTCTCCCTAGGGAGTCTCTACACCACTTTAACAGGCAGCAGCCTTACTCAGCCTCCTGACAGTTAGGTCATCTAGTTCAGGTAACTTGGTGTTTTAAATAATGTCCTTTCACTTTCTGTCATGTCCTGTTTTACTGAAGTACTTTCTTTTTGAAATCGACCTCTTATCACATACAAGAGAAGCTGAGGTCCAGCTAGCTAACAAATTTCAGTGACCTCAGGTTTGCCAAAGGATCATCTTCATTTTCTGATTCTCCCAAGCTGAGGAAAGAAAATATGTCTAAAGTGAAAGAAACTGTAATATCATATTTCATTAGAAACAGTTTTACTTATGAGGTAATATCTATGTGCTTTCTCCCTCCTTGCTTCTCGCCTTACCTTCCTCCCTTCTCCTCCTGCCCCTTACACGGTTCTCCTCTCTTTTCCCCTCTGTCCTCCCCGTCTCCCTCTGCTACCTAGCATCACAAACAGCAGCTCCTATGTGTTGAAAGCAAAGTGGGTGACTTCCCAGATCACGCCCCTCTCTGCCTGCTTCCTTTGGTCCCTTGAATAGTTCTACAACAATGCGGCCTTTTCCAGAAGAGTAGGTAGCTAAGAAGTGTTAGAAAATTAAAAAGGTAGTGAAATAATTGCTTTTGTGTAGCCACTAAAATTTTGGAAAGAACTATGCAACAGCAACTGCCTAAATCATCTGCATTTTAACAGATGAGGAAACAGAAATTAGTAACTTTCTTAAGGTCACAGGGGTTCTTTAGATGATGAACTCTAGAACTTAAAGATGAGCGTTTTTTGCTACCGACTCTTCTGTACGAGAGACTGCTATAGTTCTCTGAACATGACATCCATAAAGGCAAGAACCAGAGTTGTCTGTTAACTAATGATTTCCAAGCACTTACCATAGAAACTAACTGTCTCCTGAATTGAAAAATGAGCTACACTTCAGTTTCCTGAAGTGGATGCACACTCTGATACACGGAGTCATGTGGGGAAAACAGGGGTGGCCTCATGAGGCATTAATGTAGATTTGTTTGTCTTAGGGATACCTTTACATCTTATAACTAATAATTTAACATTTCACGTTGAGATTAATTCATCTTATGAAATTAATGATGTTTGCATGAATTTTAATATGAAATGAATTTACAATCAAAGTCATTACACATTCAAACAGTACTTTTAATGTTTGCTCCGGGGGATCTTCAGCGGTCCCATTTTTACATGTAAATTAGAAGTCCAGTTTTTTATGTTTGTTGATTTTTTTAAAATGTATGTGGTACAGAAAAATAAAACCTTTTGTTCCTGAACACTGACTGCAACATCTCAGAAAAACTCTTGTGTAGACAGGATGGACACCTTGGAGGAGACCACCTGATGGTTGAGCACCATGGAAGCTGTCATTCTGGCCCTGGCCCCTTCTTAGCTTCAAACTAGTCAGAACTTGATGGGAAATGGTGAAAGCAAGATGCTAATAGATCAGGACAAATTTAAACTGCAACCATCTCATTCTGTGGGCAGACTCCTAGTGACAGCAACGTATTTAGATGCTTTTGAAAAGTCATAGTCATGTCAAAAGCAAGGAGCAAACAGAAGTAACATGAAAAAATTTAAAATCTATTATCTGTACAAGAGTTTGCTGGAATGTTTGGAGAAAGAGGCCTAAACTAAATCATTTGTTCTGATAAATGGTACTATCTTCAGAGAAAAACACAGAAGGGATTTATGTTAAAAATGAGTTAAAATGCGTTCTATGATAATGAATGCATAAGTGTATGATTCTGAACATTTAACAACACATAAGTACAATTGTAAGATAATTTGAAATTCTTCCACTTCAATAAAAACCAACAGAAGAGTAATAAGTTTGATTAAATTGTTATTTATAAGGAATTTTAACATGTAGTACATATCCTAACTCATTCTGTTGAAGAGAACAGAGAATACACATGCTTCTAACAGGCGTTATTTCTACACACGTTACACTGAGGGTTCCTTGCCGACCTATGCTGCTACAGCCTTTGCTCCTCCCTGTGTGTGGTGAAGTCTCTCTCAGGAGCCCTGTCTCTTGCTGAGGTTTTTGTAGGACACCTTAAGGGCTTCCTCTCACTGTGTTTTCTCTCCCAGCACAGAAATACACTGCTGAGTCGGCGAGCTGGGAGGCTGTGATAGTGAGCCTGATGGACTTGGCTGCCTTCTGGAAGCTCAGAGAATACCGGCCCTCTGTTGCATTGTGTTCACTGTAAGAGTCCTGACGAATAAGAAAAATCATTTCTCCACTCGGTGGTTGTTTGTACCAGAATAAGGAATAACTAGGTTCACGGGTTTCATACACGCAGTCAATGGTCACAGCCTTCTTCTCCAGCAGAGAAATTTCAGTCTGAGCTTGAACTACCTTCTGGGCCATGCTAGTTCCTGCAGGAAAAAGGAAAAAAATAGATTGATCCTTTATCTGTAACCATGGGATTCAAGGGGTGAAGTGGCTCAGGCCCAAGCACTCTGGTTCCATTGTCTATCTATCCCTTCCTTTTGAACCTCATCAAATGTAATGATCTCGCTCAATTTCCTCCTCATTCAGAGATGAGAAAAGCCTGAGTTCTGTGCTCACAGACACACTTACCAAGACCAAGACAGATGATGGCAGCGGCTGCCCCTAGCAGACTAGTGACCAGCATGGCAACAGCTCTTTCCCTCAGTGAAATGTTCTACTATGTCTCAAACCCAGATCATAGTTCTATACCCAGGCCTAAGGAGAACAGTCAAAGTTACTGGGCTGTATGCTGCACCTGCCCCCACGGGAAATGCAGTTAACAAATACGGAGCATGCTTCCTGTGTAGGTGGGGACGCCAGACTGTCTTGAGCACCAACTGTGTCTTAGTACGATGTACTGGACTGGAAATAATCTGTGGTAAAACTGAATCCTTTTAACTCATTCCTTTTGAGTCACAATTTATTATAAACATTTGTGAGTCCCTGGGAAAACGTAATCATGCCTCCTTTTTTCCAGACAGAACCAAGATAGTACAAAGTAACCAACTGGTTTTGATGCTCCAAAAACAAAGTTAAAACTTTTAGTCTCAATCTTGTTCCTATCTTGCTAGTCATGTAATCCAAAAAACTTACATCAAAAATATTTTATGGTTTATAAATGTTTCACATCATGCTCCTTGATTCAAAATTATCAAGTGTATGCCATGTTAAGTAAAAGCAGGGAATAAAATACATGTTTCTGTGCACATATTGTGTGTGCACATATGTGAAAAAAAAACAAATTCAGAAATTTCTCCTCAGTGCCCAATTACAGGGATTCATGTTGTAACTAAGCCTCTATGTCTCTGAAAATCCTGCTCCTTCAAAATACACAAATAATTGTGGTGGAACTTGGGCTTGGGAAAAGCCAAGGTGCACAATTCATAACCAGAACATTATCAAAAACAATAAAGATCCCATTGAAAATACCAGTAAAATTTAAGCTCTATTGGCAGTTGTTCCTGGAACCATACCCAGTAATCCCCTTGTGGTCTTAAATTAATAGAATTTTTATATCACCCCTCTAAGTACATAGATCCATAAGAGATCATATATGTGTACAAAGACCAGGGTCACAAAAATTTTACATTTTTTTCTACAAAAATTATTTAACTCTGAAGATCCACATATACTAACAATTATTCTTCCTGTAGCTATCATTTTTAGAACAGTTTTAGGTTCACAACAAAATTGAGCAATAGAGAAGGTTCAAAGATTTCCAATCTACTCCTTCCCCCTTTAAGCATAGCCTCCCTATTATTGACATCAAACCCTGGCAGGGTACAGGTGTTATACCCAGTGCAGCGGTAGGAGCTCATCATTGTCATCTGCAGTTCATAGTGCAGATAACAGTTCAGCGTTAAAGTTGTATGTTTTGTAGGTTTATACAAATGAATGATGACATGTGTCTGTGACTATATGATTATAGTATCATACAAAGTAGTTTTTTTGGCCAGATGTTCTGTAATTAGATAGTTGATTGCTAGGCAATTCTACACTTATAATATAAGGATGCAGTTTATGACACATGACTTATATCTTAAGGAAATTATTATTTAAAACGTATGAGTGAAAGTACTCATATGAATGAGAGGTGAAATGGCTTGATTGCTGTGGTGGAAAGGAGTGCTGGGAGCTAGGAGACATGCTGATATCAGGACACACTAAGGCTATTATATTAGTTCAGCCTGAAACAGGAAGGTGATCTTTTTGGGATCAAAGACACAGGTTAACCATGCAGTACATCTAGGTTTCATTTCAGGTCCCCTTGCTATCTAGTGTTCCAAACTCTTTTATTTGTAACTTCCTTTTATTTTCTTTTTTTCACACCAAATATCAGAGCCACATCAGGCCCTGCAGAATCTGCTTCTGCACCTGCCAAACCCAGAAGCATACCAGATGGAAAACGGTCCAACAAAGCTCTCATAGTTCCAGAAGGTTAAGAAAGATTTTCTACACGATGCACTGAGGGTTTCAATGAGACCCCATGGTCCTCTCTTCATGCTTCTTTGATTTGGAGAAATACGGGAGAATTTGATCCCTTTGGTCTCCCAGTGAACCAGAGCCAGCAGACGTCCTCTTTGGTCTTAAACAGACACCTGAGGTCTTCACTGGATGCCGAATCTGGCCCCATGCAGGAGGATCCTGAGCATAAGTGAAATCATAAGAAAATGTGTCAGGATGCACAGTTATGGTCACATCCAGAATGCAGTCCTTCTCAGGGCAGAGATTCAAAAGTCTAAAACTGTGTCATTCCTTGGCATGAGGGCACACTGCTGTGGGCTGTGTGGAAGATCAGAGTGAAGGGCACGAGCACAGGTGAAGAAGGGCACCACGGCATGGCTGTGCCGCTGGTCTGCTCAGAAACACTGTTCCTGGGCAGGAGGCTGGTCTCTGGCCTAGGCGCTGTCCCCCAAAGAACTCACTTGGGAACTGCATGGGAAGGGAAGGTCATGGATAAAACAAATACAGCCCCCACTTATGGAAGATGGGTTTGTTGCTGTTAAAAGAAGCAAGACACACAAATCTGTTTCCAACTGTAAAAACAGGGAAATAGAATCAAGACTATTTTCCCTGGACGCATTTAATAGCTGAAGTGAAATAGCTCAGCATGGATGAACTGAAATGTCTTCTAAGAGTTATTGAAATGCCTCAAGATTTCGGTGCAGGAGAGAACACTGGGCTGAAAACAAACCTGTCTGGAAAAAGTCAAGTTTCTTAAAAATTGCTCTGAGGGGGTTACACAAGAAGCACAAAAGCCTTAAGGAAACTTACATCAAAACAGTATTGAATTAAGAGGAAGAAAGGCACAGACATGTATATGACGGAGCGTATCAGGGATGAGTTGGAGCAGTGATAAGAATGAAGCCATCATTACTCTGTCACATTTGGAAGCATTTGTCTGTCTTAGGCATTAATGATGATCTTGGTGACTGAGTGGTAGAGTTTGCACTCTGACAAGGTCACTGTCACTGCAGGACAAAGGATGACACTGAGGCGTGCGTGATGTCAAGTGTGCAAAGAGCAGAAAATTGGCATGGTTATTTAACTGGAGTGTGGAGGTGGCTTAGACTGCAGACATTGGGATACCATTTAGATAATCTTTAGTAGCTAAATTCAACAGACACAAAAGAGATTAAACATGGTAATTTTTTTAAAAAGCAAGTTGCCTATTCAATGTCTATTTCATCCTATTTCTTACCAAAGGCCTAATTGGGACGTGGGTGGCAAAGCAGTTAGACAGAAATAATCCTGAGATCCCACGTTTGTCAGACAGGAGAGCGGTGGGGACATCAGGTAACACTTTATTAAATGAAAGGTAAGTGGAGGCTGTTGGGTGGAGTTTGGAAAACGACTGACTCAGAGAGCAGCTCCTCATTGCCTATGACTCACTCTTTCTCTATAAGTGAGAGGGTATAACGTGACAGGATCATTAGCAGTATCTTAAGAATACAAAAACAAAATACAAAAAAAAAAATAATACAAAAAGAGAGACATCGTAAGGATGAGAAATACTGAGTTCAAAAGACCCTGGTTCCCTGACAGCATGATGAAGCTCCAAATACATCAGCCCAATGTATTACAGCTCTTCTTCACATGACAGGAAAGAGAATTCCTCCTTGTTAAAAATATTGTGTGACTTTTCTGTAATGTGAATGAAAATCAATCTCCATTGGATGCAAATGATGTTCATGAAGACTACAAATTCATTACTTCATCAGAGACTTAGAGGAAGCCAGCACTGAGCAGAGTGATCCAAGTAATCCAGGTCTTCAGTATCACACCAGGTGACTGTGAAAGAGATGATGCTCATAGGTCAGGATGTGGCATTCGGGAACCACTGCCTTAAACCATGTCTCCCCACCTCCTCCACATTTGTCACCAAGTGTGTGCATAGATACAAATACCGAGTTTCTCTACAAGCACATTTTCAGGGGTGCTGAACCTGGGTGAAGAAAACTGTAGTCACCATTCATTTATCTAACAGAAGTATGAATAAATAGATGGAAAATCGTGTTTGATCCTAGATGTGCCTGCTTTCAAAGCACACATTGGGGATCTGGTAATTGAGAATGTGCGTTCTTCTCCTGAATGAAGAAAAACTATGACTTTCTCATAAGTTTCTGTTTTACTCATAGAGAAACTGAGGCTTGGAAATCACACAACTCAAATTGCAGAATCAGATCTGGATATTTATCTTTATTTCACCAAGATTCAGATCTTCACCTCCCTTAATATACAACGGAATTTCTCCTGAGCTAAGAAATGAAATTTTTGGTAGAAAATGTGCTCAGATACCCTCTGAATCCAATGCCAGGTGAGCCTTCAGGTTCCTGGTACTAGAGGAATACAAGACTCATCTCAGCAACTCAAAGGCCTATCTAGGTATTGGGGGTACACAAAGACCACAGCAAACCTCCCACTACTGAGTAGCATTTCCTCGTCCACTACAAGTGCCCAGGGTTTACATTTTCCTGATGGAATTCGAGTCTGAAAATCTTTTGGCTCAGTGACCCAAATCTTTTATTTCAAGTGAGAAAATCAAAGGCCATGATGAGCCTGAGGAAGTGTAGCCAGGATGGCAGTGCTGAACCTAGCATTTGATGTTCCCATTCCATGCTTCATATCTTTTGTCCTAATCCAAGATATTTCCATAAAATTCACAAAGTTGAAAGGGCTCCCCTTCCTCACTGCCAGTGGATGTTCCTTCATAGGAAGTAACCACCACCTGCACACACCTTTGGGGCTTCCAGGAAGCAGCCTGCTGGGGTTTGTGTGGTGCTGCAGGTGCCCGCTGCACACTGTGCCTCTGTAGCACAGAAGTAAGCAGCAGCCTCCGCAGCCCAGGCAGCAGTGATGGACAAGGAGCTGGTTTTGGTGGCGGTGTCAAGGGTGGCTCTCAGTCTTCCACTGTGTTTCTCTCTCTCATTTGATCGTATCAAAATGAGCAGGACAGGGCCTCCACCTGAATCCTGTCTGTACCACTTTGGGTTCAATATAGAAGCTGTATAATTGCAGTTCATGGTGGCATTTTCACCCTCCTGGATGCTCAGGGCCTGAGGAATCTCTCTTCCTTGTTGGCTGTTCACCCCTAGACAGAAACACAGTCAGAGATGGAGTCCATCATTGCATTTTTCATCCCATTTCCAAATTAACAGGAGACTTTACCTCTCAGTCATGTGGGCTCTGAATTTTGGTGTCACTTTCATCATCACCAGGAACCCCCACCCTTACCTCTCCCCTACTCACCAACTAGTAGAAGCCACAAGGTCATTCCAGGAGTTTCTCCATTCTCTTCCTCATTGAAATCATAGGAGATTCAGGCATGGGGCCTGAAACAGAGCCAGGCCTCTCAATTGGAAAAGTTAGTTCCTATTCCTGAGTATACATCCTTCCTGCTCCCCCAGAGTCTTGGTTTCTTGCCTAGCCAGTCAGAGGCAAGCTCAGTCCTTTGCTAGAAGCAAGCGCGCCCACACACACACACACACACACACACACACACACACACTAGGAAGACACTGCCATCTGGTGGTGGCAAGACCATTCTACTAATAAATAGAATGTACTCGAATGGGGGAAAGTGAGCAGAGCTAAAGGAGATTAGAGAACTATTCTGTGTCTTCATAGAACTTTGGTTTTGACTTAGAATAAACACACATAGTTTAATTCAGGTGAAAGCTCAATAAAGAAAGAATGTTGGGGCCAACCACTTACTGAATACCTTTGAGAAGCATTGCAAAGTGCCCGATGGCTGCTACAACCCCTGAAAACATATCTATGTGCTGGTTATCTATCATGTTGGTCTAGGGACAACAGCAAACAAGTCACTCTGAGCCATTCACCTGGGTGCTCCTGCACCTGCCAACCGTGCAGGAGAGACCAAACCACCAGAATAAAGCTTGAAAAAGATAGGGAACAGGCAAAATCTGGAGATGGGGTGGCTGGAAGAGGAGTGAACAGCCTATGGAATCCAGCACTGCTTACAGCACAGGACTGGAAAGTCCACCATTATGTGAAAAGTACAAAGTCCTGCAAGAGAAGAAGTCAACATCCCAGCTGCTGCTTGGCACCCAGCGTGGATACCACCACTCTCCAGCATCAGTCTGGCCCAGAAGTTCTCCCACCCTCATGGAATATGGGGCCCTGAGTCTGAAATATTCATCTGAGAAAACCTCTCAGAGCCTGAGCACAGTGGAGACAGTGAGACAGACACAGAGGGCTGGGGAAGCACAGCAGGAACCTGTAAGTGTTAAGGGTGAAGAGAGACAAAGGTGACAGCCAGGGCTGGGCAGAATTCAGAGACAGACAGAAACTCCTTGAGTTCTGGTGGAGCTAGAAATACCCTGTTTTGAAGTAGAGAGAGACAGAATGCACAGCACCAGGTACTAAGAAAACCGGAGTTAGACTTGAGGATTCAATGGGGCGGGGGGGGGGTGAGTTCAGCAAAGCTAAAAAACGGAAAGTGCAGGGATAGTGCAAGACTGATCAGATGATCCTGCTCAGGCTGGTGTCTCCTCAGCACCAGGTATGATGGGAACCAAAATGCGGAGAGAAGCTGAGAAACCTGTGGCAGCGGGAATCCTCAGGCTTCAGGGGAAGAGAAAAGGGACGCCTCAACGGGAGCTTGGACTGTGTTCCTTCTGACCCCAGAAGTCACTGCAAGCACAGGCCAAAAAGAGTCTGTGCTAGAAACAGCACAACTGGGAGACAGAGAGAGAGGAGTGGACAGAGTTGGCCACAGAGATGGCAGCTAGGGAGTCTGAGGCTGAGACAGGCTGGAGGAGCTGCAGAAAGCCCTGCAGACCACTGTCCCAAGAAAACTACAGGCTCTTGAATGGAGTGCTCTAATTTCAGGAACCATTAAAGGTTTACTGTTTTTTAGCCTATTATATTTTATTAAACTTCCTAACTTTTCTTGGGAAATTTTATTCCTCTGTATTTTACTAGGATATGAATTATGGATCTCTCCTCAAACAAGTTCTTAATTACCTGATATTACATATGGTCACCTTCTCAGTTTTGGTGGTACAAGTAGGTACTCTTTGCTCTCATAGCAGTTTTGGTGGATGAACCTAGTATTCAGAACAGACTAGGGAGAAACACTCCTTGCAGACATACCCACACCTTAAGTCTATGAAAAGGAGAAAATCATACACTGAAAAGATCCCCACATGACTGCGGAAGAGATAATCTTCCCATCTGAACTGCAGGGCTCAAAACAGAATCACAACTCAAATGAGAAAACAAGGCCACAAGATGCCTCCAAAAACTCTTAACTTCCCAAAAGCTGACCCCACTGATAAGTAAATAGATAAAATTACAGAAAGAATTCAAAACAAAACTGATAATAAAACCAATTAATGGGATCAAACAAAAGACAAACAGGCACGTGAATCAGTTACTAAAATGATCAGTGCGTTTTACAGAGAGACAAATAAGCAGTTGAATGTATGAAGGAAGACAAGGATATGGAAGAGCACTTCCAGTAAGGAAACAGAGGCTATGGAGAAGAATCAAGCAAAACTCCTACATGAAAATCTCAGTAAATCCAATTTTAAAGAAGCTCAGTTGAAAATCTCAACAGTAGACAAGATGAATCAGAAAGGATACCAACACTTAGAGACAACTTGGACAGACACGCTAAAGCATACGGTGAATAATAATGAAAAAAGGACAGTAATCAAAAAAGGATCCAAGAGCTCATACACAACTCTAAGGAATGAACTTCGAAATCATTGGCTTCCAGGAAAGTGATGATGTAATGACTAAAAGAAGAAGAAATCTACTTAGTTAAATTATTGAGGAAAATTTCCAAACCCTGAGAAATAAGGTGGATACCCAGGTGAAGGAGGCATTTAGATCACAAAATAGCAGGACTATAAAAACTCTTCTCCACAACTCATTGTAATCAAAATGTCAGAAGCTCAGAGGAAAGAATATTAACAGTTGTTAGAGAAAAGTACCAAGACATTTAGAAAGACAAAGCTATTAGATTAACAGAAAGTTTCTCAAAGGAATCCTTAAAAGGCAGAAGAGCTTAAAATGAAGTTTTTCAAGGCCTGAAAGGAAATAATTGCCAACCTGGATTATTATGTCCTGGAAGGAAGTCTTTCAAACTAAAAGATGAATAAAGGCCTTTCATGATGAATAAAGGCCTTTCATGATAAAGGTGAATTAAAGACTACTTAAGTTCAAGACCACTAAGACAGCATTACAGAACTATTTAAGGGAATCCTAAACAGAGATGAGGAGGACAAGACTAGGAATTAGTACATGCTACTCAATAATTACTAAAAATGGTAGTAACTCTCTAATTGAAATACAGACTCACCAGTCATGCAGCTCAGTGGCAGAGTGTTTACCTAGCATGCATGAGGCCCTGGGTTCCATTCCTGGTACCTAAAAGACACAGACTGACAGGTTTAACAACAACAAAAAATACTGATCTATGTGTTGCCTAGGGAAGCCTTGATACTAGTGATAAAGCTATCTGCCATAGGTAGCTTAAAATAATCAACACAGGAAAAAACTAACATAAAAAGTAGAAAATGACAAGATACAGAGGCAAAATGCAATCCCAGACCTTCAGCCCACCCAAGACAAGTCCAGGGGACAACAAGATAGAGGCAATCAGAAGCAATCCAACTGAACTTGCTGAAATGATAGCACCACAAGTAAAAAACCAGATGAATGAAGCTATAGAGAAAATCAGATTAGAAATAATCTCTAAGGTAAAAAGAGAGATGATGATCAAAATGAAGGATCTGCCTGGTGAATCTAGAGTAGATATAGATTTTTTAAAATAAAGAAGTTTAGGAAAATGATGGAACCCATTAATGCTCAACATAAGAAAGAAATGGAATCCATGAAACAGATTCAAACAGATATCTAGTAGATTAAAAATTCCATTGCAAGTATATGCAGCTGACTGAACCAAGGTGAAGAAAGAATGTCAGACCTAGAAGGCAGGATTGTGGCTAGTGACCGTGCAAAGAAAGATTTCTTAAAAGTAGCAAGGGGCCATGAAAAATCAATCCAGTCACTGTAAGATGATGCAAGGAAAAGCAACATAAGATTGATCAGAGTCAGTGAGAAAGCAGGAGGCAGCACAAATGTGATTTTAAAAATGTTTACAGAAATAATGGGAGAAAAGTTCCTCAAAAAAGGAAAGTAAATTGACATACAAATAAATGAGGCATATAAAATTCCAATTAGCCATGACCAAAATAAATCTACACCAAAGCATGTAATAACCAAGATTCCTGAAATTTAGCACAGGAATAGAATATTAAAAGCTGTTAGAAAAAAGAAACAAATCATATATAAATGAAAGGCCATCAGAATCACAGAAGACTTCTCAACAAAAACCCTTAAGTCAAGGAAAGCTTAGAGCAAAGTATTTCAAGTCTTGAAATAAAACAAACTCCTACCCAGATTGATGTACCCTGAAAAACTATATCTGCTCCTCAGAGATGTCTTTTATGTTTAGCTGCCTCTTAGTCTTTGTATCTATTCCAAGTTCTTACCTTCTCAATTAGTGATGGGTAGTTGCTATCTATTTGGTTCAGCACTCAGTCCTATAGTACTTGACTATGGTGATAGTTATGATCCCAAAGAATCATAGTGTTGTCATACAAAGAAGAACAACTGATTGTAACAGATATGACACTGTGGCTAAAGTAGTATGATTAACAATAACAGTAGCATCAAGCACAGCCTAGAAACTGACAATCTCCATATTTTGGTACCTTTAACCATAAGAGCAAGATATACAATTATATAATAAAATCCACCATAAACCAGGAATATCTATGCAATGAATTTCCCCTTAGTTGAATAATTTTACTCTGGGGGTTAGCAGTGTTAAGAGGGATGGGGCACAAAACAGAGAGATAAATGAATAGAAATATAGTAGAAGCAAGGCTGGGGGGCGAAGAATGATCACCCAAGCTTTGGGACCTGAACAAGAGGACAGGAGAGAAAGAATGAAGGAGAAAGCAAATGAATATCAAACTGAATGAGAAAGACTGGAGATAGTGTTCACTCACTTGAAAATATAAAAACAAAACAAAACAAAACAAAAAACAAGAAAAGTTGAGGGAAGAGAGAGTAGAAACAAGCAAAACAAGTAATTAAAAAGAAAAAAACAACAGAAAAAGGACAATGAAACAAAGATAATAGTAATAATAATAATGGTCCCCTGAGGTCCATACTTCTGTGGTAGTGTCCAAGTCAGCACCCCGATCTATGCCAGATAACTCCACCACGCCTGCAGTAGGAATAGGCTTGATATAGGGCTGATCTTGACCCCCAGATGTGGGGAGCTGGGGCCAGGGTATTCAGCCAGTAACTTTCTGTATATCCCTATGCATACCACACACTCTTCCTGTTGC